CCCCACTATTTTAATAAAAATAAGAATAATAATAATATTTGAGCTTTTGCGGAATATTATGCATAATGAAAGTGGACAATGCCTTCAAACCTTCACTTAGTACAATATGTTTCCCGTACTAGAATCAAAGTGGACTTAGCCTTCAAACAGTGACCCTTGTGGCACGTAGAATCATATTGCACACATAATACTCAAAGTGTCCCGATCGAAGCTTCTAAAGCCAGCACGTTTAACGGCCATGTGCTTTACCCCATTTCTGGTGAGCGCTCTAGAGAATAGCCTATAATTCTCATAGGAAGCGGCCCCACTTCCACACTCACAAGGTGAATTCTATCAAGGATGTTTACGTAACTCCAACACCCCACCCATTCGGGCTATAGAAATCATTAAGAGATCGAAGTCTCAACCTCACAATTCGTTACGAGCTTTATTAATGCACACGCATCATAGGGATGGATAATAAAAGTGTGCACTTTTATCTCAATCAAGTTGCTTTCAGATTCGTTTTTCTTCGCCTAGTTCGTAGGATCTCTAGCCCCTAGGCGGTAGTATCCTCATCAACAACTTTACAAAATATATTAGGCTTTAACCCAATCCCCCTCAATGCATTTCAGATTATTTCTGAAATAATGTGAAATATAATTTCACAATTTTAGTAGCGCTTATTCGACATTTAGTCTCATGGACTCAATGGTTTATTAACCATTTCTCATATAATTTCACATATAATTTCACTTAAATTTTCGCGTGAATTTTCACATACATTCACAGCACTGTATTTTCTTTTAATGGTTCCGGTTCCCATTAAAAGATTCTCGCATTTGCCAACTGCAGTTTTTCAATCTCATTTATCAAAGCACAAAGCATTTGATTCTTCTCAATCATATTTATCAAAGCACAAAGCATTTGATATATTCTCACTAGGATTTTATATATCACATTCGATATAAACCGGCCTCTTCATAGACTAGTGTCAAAACAATAAATCAAAATTGATATGAATTTTGACTTTTAAGTTATCAATATATATTTCATTCACACAAGGAAACATGTACTCAAATAAGAATATAATTCCTCTTATTTAAGTTTTCAATAATCAACAATATTGAAACTTTTCAAAAACGTTTTACTTCACACATCACAAATCACAAATTTATTTTCGCTAATCAATATCCACTTTTAGGCCTTTCTAAAAACATCTATGTCACATATATGCAAAATTAGGCCTTTGCTAATTGCTTGCATATTCAAGATTGCAAATAAAGCAAAATGTATCACAATATGACTATAAACAATTTGCGATCATAAAATGAGCAACTAAGCATAGACCACATTAAAGTCAATTAAAACATGCTCATAGGTAGACACTAAAACCCCCACTATTTCTCAATGTTTAAACAAACGTAAAATGTTTAATCATATGAACATGCTCTCTAAGACCCCCACTACATCAAATTTTCAAACACATGCATCATGAATTAAATTCAAAATATAATATATCATGCTCATTTTCACAATTAGTGAAAACTATAATACCCTCACTATTTCTCAATTTAAATAAATTATTTATTTTCATAAAAATAGTTTATAATAATTCACCATAATATTCCACAACAGTAAGATAGTCTCAAACTTTTAATAAAAAAATCAATACTTCATCAATATCAAAAAATCAATTTTAGCAATGCTCAAATTATGCTTCATTTTCTTAGGCAAATTATAACGTTGCAAGTAAAGTCAAATTCACATATTTAATAACAACAATGCACGAAATAGTCATATATGCCATCAGATCACAAATTTATATAAATTGATTTAACACACAATGGTTAGAACATGCACACTATTTCAGTAGCAAAAATGTGAGATTTTTAATCATAATGGTTAAAGTTCAATATATAATAATCAATGCCAAATAAAAACGTTTCTATGTGAACGTTTCACTCTATATCTGATCAATTTTCATGAACAAATTATCATGCCATCACTTTCAATATGAATTGCACTTCAATAGATCAATGCACATACGGTAAAATATTAAAAATCAAGAGGTCACATGCAATTAAGTACACCTTAATGAAATTATTAATAATGAATTAATGTTACCTTGATTATTCTGACGGCTATATCTTTCTGAATACATCTTGAACCGAAACATACCCGAGTTTGATAATTTTCATTTATCAATTTTTTCTTACTTCGATTTTTTATGGTTAGGGAAAAAACGCGCACAATTGGCAGCTCCGGCAGTGTTCAGTATTTTGAGCATACCTCCCTCGTTTGAGATCCGATTCAAGCGATTTAATATGTTTTGAACAGCCAACACAAAGGACTCTAACTTTCGTGTTTTATACTTTCCCAAATTCGGACATTATCAGGTCCCAAAATGGCCTCAAAGTATAAATTCGTGAATTGTACGAAAATTCATGACCTACACCAAAAATAAGATCGTTAATTTTTCGTTAAATTAAAATAACAATAAAATATAATTTATTATCTCCCTTATTATCATCAAGAGCCTATTTTGGATCATCGTCAAAGCTCATCTTCATGGGATCAAAATTCGTCTTAAATTGTTGGAACCACGGCTGCACTTTGACGATTGATCACGAAACTTGTGGATGAGGCTTGGACTCCATTTGTTCTCTAATTTTATAGGTAACAAGTTGTTGCAATAAAAACCACGATAATATGGAGATAGGCAAGGTGAGGCGCGGACTAGGTCGCTTTCTTAAGACGAATTTCACGACCCCTTCTCTAATGAGGTGCAAAAAGGTTCCGATCGTGTCGCCTATGGGATACAACAGCCCAGCCTATCTCTCCGCTGTAACTTCACCGAAATTGCACGTTCGAGTGAAGTAGAAGCTTTCACCCGACACACAACAAGAGCTCAAAATATATGTATATAGTATAGATGAAAAGTGTTCCTTTTTCTCTTCTCTCTTGTGCCTTTACAAAGCTACAAAGCCACCTTTATATAGTATAAAATATGACCACCATAAAATCTATATTTAATATAGAATTAAAGGAAAAATACTGAGGTTTTATGAGACAAAATAAAGTCTTTGGTGGTTTCAAAATATTGCTCTAAATGACCTCATAAATTGGTCAAAGAAAATATTCAATAAAATATTATTTTTATTTAAAAACCCAACAATCCCCCACTATTTTAATAAAAATAAGAATAATAATAATATTTGAGCTTTTGCGGAATATTATGCATAATGAAAGTGGACAATGCCTTCAAACCTTCACTTAGTACAATATGTTTCCCGTACTAGAATCAAAGTGGACTTAGCCTTCAAACAGTGACCCTTGGGGCACGTAGAATCATATTGCACACATAATACTCAAAGTGTCCTGATCGAAGCTTCTAAAGCCATCACGTTTAACGGCCATGTGCTTTACCCCATTTCTGGTGAGCGCTCTAGAGAATAGCCTATAATTCTCATAGGAAGCGGCCCCACTTCCACACTCACAAGGTGAATTCTATCAAGGATGTTTACGTAACTCCAACACCCCACCCATTCGGGCTATAGAAATCATTAAGAGATCGAAGTCTCAACCTCACAATATGTTACGAGCTTTATTAATGCACACGCATCATAGGGATGGATAATAAAAGTGTGCACTTTTATCTCAATCAAGTTGCTTTCAGATTCGTTTTTCTTCGCCTAGTTCGTAGGATCTCTAGCCCCTAGGCGGTAGTATCCTCATCAACAACTTTACAAAATATATTAGGCTTTAACCCAATCCCCCTCAATGCATTTCAGATTATTTCTGAAATAATGTGAAATATAATTTCACAATTTTAGTAGCGCTTATTCGACATTTAGTCTCATGGACTCAATGGTTTATTAACCATTTCTCATATAATTTCACATATAATTTCACTTAAATTTTCGCGTGAATTTTCACATAGATTCACTGCACTGTATTTTCTTTTAATGGTTCCGGTTCCCATTAAAAGATTCTCGCATTTGCCAACTGCAGTTTTTCAATCTCATTTATCAAAGCACAAAGCATTTGATTCTTCTCAATCATATTTATCAAAGCACAAAGCATTTGATATATTCTCACTAGGATTTTATATATCACATTCGATATAAACCGGCCTCTTCATAGACTAGTGTCAAAACAATAAATCAAAATTGATATGAATTTTGACTTTTAAGTTATCAATATATATTTCATTCACACAAGGAAAACATGTACTCAAATAAGAATATAATTCCTCTTATTTAAGTTTTCAATAATCAACAATATTGAAACTTTTCTAAAACGTTTTACTTCACACATCACAAATCACAAATTTATTTTCGCTAATCAATATCCACTTTTAGGCCTTTCTAAAAACATCTATGTCACATATATGCAAAATTAGGCCTTTGCTAATTGCTTGCATATCATTAGATCACCCCGTGTTGTTCAAGGACTTATTGCGAAAGAAGTTGTCGTTGGTGTTGCAATGAACTTTTTATCAAATTTTACTTTAAAAAGAAAGGCTTTCTATATAATTTTATATGTATATTTTACAGAATACAGAAAACTAGTTGAGATAATTTGAGGAACTTCTACGTCGGTGCCCGACGACACAAAGAGACGAGCCTTTGGGGTCATTGTCGAAAACATTACTAATGGAGGGCCCAAAATGGAATATTTAGTTAAAGCAAGCAATTAACAGTCCATCCTCATAATATCTTGAGAACAAGAAAATAACCATTGGCCACTCCCATCAACAATTTTCCAGCGCAAAGGGTGTCCTACTTTTGATCCGATTCGTCGTTTCTTCGTTTAATAAATTCCCTGCAATTACTCTTCAACCGTGTGTATATATATATAATATTGATATATACTCACGGCTCCTCTGCCAACCATACATGTTATTGTTCATAATATTTGCTCATCGGTTGATGCTCGTTGGAGTTGTCGACATCCAAATGATCTTATCAAAGCCGGAAAGTCCTTCATACAATCATGGTAGAATCCTTTTAAGAAGCTTTTTAAAAACATTACCTTAATAGGTAGGCATCTATCTAACTCCAGCTATACGTCAAAGTTCAAACTTCGAAAAGAACACATACATACAAATGTGTTTGAAAGACCACCATTTCAATTTACAATGTCATGCGCAAATATCTAACGGCTCACAGAGCGACTAAGGCAAAAGTGATTGATGATCTATACCCAAAACTAATGACTGATGCAGCATTACATGTTATTCTTTTAACGAAAGACGAGCATTTTGGACCTTAACCGAGAGCTTCAACTTCTGGTCCTCCATATCTCTAAATAGTGCAAGTAGAATCGCCCGATATACTTCACACCTTTCGTTTGTTCGTTCAAGCTCACCACTTAGTTCATTCATCTTCTTCTCCTTCTCTTCCTGCATTATTAAAATTATTATTGTTATTCAAGATTTAGAGATTCAACCATATGAATTACAATACATTGAGTTTTACGTACTTAAGCCATTTCATCACTAATTAAGAAATTCTTAACTTTATTTTAGCAAATTATTTGTTTGTTTTCTGCAACGAATTGAGGATAATCTCACATACTTGAGCAACAGTTTCAGTAAGTGAACATTTTAGCAATTTTAACACTGAGAAGGCTGGAGCTTCGACACTGCAGCAGATTGCTTTTAAGGGAATTAATATCTATAATGCAATGAAAAATATATTTGATATACTAATAACAGAAACAAAAAATTCGACATTCATGTCAAATGACGAAAATACCCCTCTTGTTGGGTAATTACAACCCACCCCTCAACTATGAATCTTCTTACATGTCCACCCTTATGGTGTCAAATTCAACATAATCTTCTAGATTCCGTGGAATATTCTCAAGTTTGTACTCGTTTTGTGCAAAAAGGAAGTTTCTGACGCACCACAAACCGGTATTTACAAGCCAAGAGACACATCTTATGATCATCTTGTTACAAAATGTGGAGCTTGAATGGAGTAAAACGGGTACAAACTGGAGAATATTCCACATAACTTAGAAGATTCCACTAAATTTGACACCGCAAGGGTGGACGCAAAAGAAAATTCATATTCGAGGGGTGGTTGTACCCAAACAGGAGAGGTTTTTTTCGAAATACCTCAGGGGGGGTGGCCGTAATTTACCCTAAATTAAAAGTCCCAAGTTTGAGCGAACAATAATAAGGTTCTAAACTGTCATGTTTTCTTTGTGGAGTCGAATTCCTATTCTCAAAATAGTAACACATATCTTGGAATTTTCAAATAATCATGTATTTTAACATGTACAGTAGAAATCAATTCAGCCGTTTGCCCCCACCGAGTTCTATGTTCTTCAGTGACACAGATTCCTATAGCAATATATCCGCAGCTCGGATTATTGTTGGTTTCCTTTCTCCAGTCCTTTAATCTATTGCTAGTTTCTATAGATCAAAAGTGTGACAATGTTTCTTGCTTTCCCGACTAAATGGCTACGTAGTCCTCCATAACAATTATCGACCATTGATACTAACCTTAAATTAAAGACCACAAAATTCCAAGCAAATTGGAAACAAAGTATTAATTATTCGATATATCTTTTCCAATTCTAAATATAACAGTATGTGTAATCTTCATTTCGCAGGCAGTATTAAAATTAGGCAAGTGGAACGAAGCATATTCACACAGTAACTTACGGCTAATAATATATAATAACAAAAAGTCGATAGGTTCAAAGTATCTTACCCTCGATAAACACGATGAAGATTGATTCTCGACCGTGTGCATTTCTAGGTTTCTTCCATTTGCTTCACTTATCCCGTGTGAAGCTTTGTTCTTCACAGCCGCAACTCGTTTCGAAGCCTCTTGCAGCGCATTCATGGCCACATTGTAAACATGTATCGATTTTGCACCTTCTTCCACATACTTCATAGCCTCTTGGCGTAAATTATTATGACGAACCATTGGAGATTCTAGATTACTATTATTATTAATATTAGGCGAAGCGGAAGAAGCATATCCAGGCACGGATTCTTCTCCGCCACCCGTCTTTGCGTTTCTTGTCCAACGCCTCAGAACATAATCGGGAGGGAGCATTAGAACATTCTTAGCTCGAAACACCGACAGTACGTGTCTGCAAATGATCCCTGAAAAGTCAAACATTTGACAACTGCACGTAGCTTTCATCTCAAACCCATTGAATCTAACGGTGTGAGCTTTGTGCTCTTCGCCAAATTTAGCCACCCGATAAGTTGTCACCGCACCGGATTCGTCGAGTACAGTAGCAGGATTAGCAAGAGTTTCAACGAGTTCGCCTTGAAATTTCATGAAAATCCTCTTAGTATAAAGATTAGCAGCTTGCTTCTCCATAGGTGACGGTGTTCTAAGAATCGGGGTCGTATTACAAGTATCGAAATCATCCTTCAATTCCTTTTCGTTCCAACTCGATACAGACTTTTCGTACTGTTTAATCAACAGCTGTACAGTAGTCGAGGCACTCAAAAACCCATCAAAGAACAAACTCAAAGCATCGTTCCACTCAACCGTCGACAATTCGCCGAAAAACACGTCTCTCAAATAAACAGGAACCCATTGATCACGAATGTTGTATAAAAACTGAAGCCATTCGTTTTCCATCAGATAGTATCGACTCAAGAGTGCCCCCCAACAAGAATCGAATTCCTCAACGGTGTCGGCTTCATTGACACACTTCTTCAACTCAAGATCGAAAGTAGGATTTGCTTGATACACGTTAGTCAACTTCTCCATTGTCTGTCTGAAAATGCTCCATCTGCAGAAACGATTTCGTGTCTGTGGGAGAACTTGAGCCACAGCCATCTGAATAAGACGATCAGGGTCGATGGTGATCGAGACAGGGGTTCGTCCAGACATGGATTGAAGCCATGTTTGGAGAAGCCAAACGAAAGTGCTGTCTGATTCGTTCAGAAGCAACGCGCAGCCAAAGAGGACGGGATGCGCGTGATGATTTACGCCGGTGAAAGTGATGAACGGTATTTTAGATCGGTCCGTTCTGTATGAAGTATCGACTCTGACAGTGTCGCCGAAATAGGTGTAATTCGCACGTGAAGTCTCGTCGGTCCAAAAGACATTTCCACATTGTTCGTTGTTGCCCTCGATTGCGTAGAAGAAACCGGGATTCTCTGATTGTGTTCTTTTCAGATAGTCCAGCAAATATTGAACCCCTGGCCCAAGATTTCTCTGCCTATTGCTATTGTTGTTGTTCATATTGTATCTATCTGTCAAAATCCCAAAAGCAATTCTTAATTCAGTAGATGCACAGCAACCAAGAAAATGGATTTATTAGCAATTATCAACGAAGAGAAGAAACCCACATACAAACGATGAAGCTAAGAAAATTCAAGAAATCGAAATTGTTGCAATAAGAAGAGAAAACGATGGTTAGGGCAAATTCATGCTGCCCCAAAAAAGTGAACCAAAATTCAAATTCAAGTAGACAAATTAAACGTATTTACGCGATGGATAATAATATGAATAGAACGCATGAGATGGGAAACAACCTCGGAGAGCTGTGAGTTGATCTCGCCGGATTATGGTCGGAGCTTGCAGCTGTCTGAATTGGGGAAATTATTATTCTGAAAAAGCTTTGATTGATTGATGGGTTTATTATATTTTCCCACTTTTCCTTCAACAAAATATAACACTTTTATTTTTTTTTTCTTTTTTGCTGATCAACAAAATATAACTCAACTTATTGAAAATAAATAAACTCTTTTATTATTTTTATTGTTTTATTTTTTTTATTTTTTTTTCTTTTTTGCTGATCAACAAAATATAACTCAACTTGTTGAAAATAAATAGTAAGGGACAATACTTCCTAGGGTGTGAACGAGCCGGGCTCGGCTGATTTGCCAGCATCGAGTCCATTTTGTCGATCTCGAGCTCATCGAGTATTTTTTTTTATTATTAAAAAAATAAATAAAAGGAAGGCTCGCGAGCCGACTCGTGAGTTCACGAACAATTTAAAAAAAAACTCGAGTTCGGCTCGTGAGTTCACAAACAATTTATAAAAAAAACTCGAGTTCGAGCTTTTCTCGAGTCGACTCATAAAGCTCATGAGTCGGCTCAACTCGTTTACCATCCCGTCCAGCCCCCGCCTCCCAGCGGGTCAGTTTTGGGCCTCCTATAACTCAGACCCCGACCCGGCCCAACTCACCCGTTGGCCGTGTCTACTTAGGAATATGTACTAATTTACTTTTCTCTTATGATATCAAACAACAATGTATAGCTAGAATATTAATCCAAAACACACACAAAAAAAAGAATATATATATATATATATATATATATATATATATATATATATATATATATATATATATATATATATATATATATATATATATATATATATATATATATATATTGTATCTACTTGGTATACCATGTGTTACTGTTCAATTCGATCCCAAAAAAATTATTATTATTTAGGTAAATAATTAACTAAGATGAATGAAGTTATTGACAAGGTATAAAACCTTTTTATTTTCAATTTCTTCTACAAATTCACACACACAGAAAAACAAAAAGAGCTGGTTACACTAGATGCGTGTCAATATTCTTGTGCCGGAATATGCTCAATGGATGTGCCTAGAGTAACCGGAAGGAAGATAAGAAAACATAAATTTAAGTGATCATATATATATATATATAAAACAACCCCTTATCGCCCCTCTTCCATAGAAACAGTCAGCAGATTGGTGGAGATGGTAGCAGGTTTTGTGGAGGTGGAGGAAGATGTGCTTGAATGATGTCTCCTCACTACAAAGGCCGGTTTTGTCGGGTTCGGAAGAGAGGTCGTGTTTTCACTGCCAATCATTACAACTACAGTTGACATGGATGGCCGATCGTTCGGGTCTTCTTGCACGCACAGCAGCCCAACATTTATGCATTTCATCACTTCACATTCCTCGCATGATTCTACCACCACCGGATCAACCAACTCGATTGCCTTGTTTTCAATCCACAATCCCCACGCCTGACAATAAAAGTCAGTCATCAAGCAGTAAATTTAAATGCGTATAACATATCGAAAAATGGTCAACATTTGACTCACATATCCAAGGAGATTTAAGACTTGTTGAGGGTTATAGAAACCGGTGTTCTTCTTCCCACTGATTATCTCAAGCATCACAACTCCGAAACTGAACACATCCGACTTTATCGAGAATTTCCCGTCTAATGCGTACTCTGGAGACATATACCCACTGCATTTAAAAAGGCAAACACAAACAATCTTCTTAACTACTCTCTCGACATGCATGCATATTACTTTTTGCGTGATACGTATTAATTAAGACTTACTAGGTGCCGACAACTCTGTTGGTACTTGCCTCTGTTTCTTTGCCTTCGACAATCTTTGCCAAGCCAAAATCCGATATCTTGGGATTCATATCTTCATCTAGTAGAATGTTGCTTGTTTTCATATCTCGATGAATGATCCTCAATCTCGAATCTTGGTGAAGGTAAAGTAGCCCTCTTGCTATCCCCAAAATTATATTAAAACGTTGATTCCAGTCTAGTAGCAAACAGTTACTTTGGTCTAGCAAAGAATGTCATTGGAAAAAGAAACAAAAAAAGAAGGAAATATATATTAACTACGGGCTTATTCAAAATGGAAAATATATTTATGTGGGGTGAACTAACTAACCAAATATGAAGGCATCTAAGCTTCGGTTAGGCATGTATTCGTACAGCAAGATTTTTTTCTTTTTCTGTGATACAGTATCCCAAAAGTCTAACAAGGTTTCGATGTTGAAGCTTAGCAATCAAGATGACTTCATTTCGGAATTCCTCGATTCCTTGACCGGAGAAACTCGACAACCTCTTCACTGCAATTTCACTTCCTCCTGGAAACTTCCCCTGCAAGACTATAGTGTTAGAAAGTCGAGCATACGTTAAAATTCCACACTGCGAGAAAAAAAAATGATGTGGCGACCTTATATACGGGCCCAAATCCACCACGGCCGAGCATATTTGCATCGGAGAAATTGTCTGTAGCAGATAAAATGACGTCCAAATTGTAGAAAGGAACATCAATGCTGCCTTGGTTATTTTCATGCATCATCAAGTCATTTACTTGTCTCTCACTTTCATTTGAGAAAAGCATTAGTCTGTCAGTCCTTCCTCGATTTTCTGGAATAATCGAAAAATGGTAATATTTGTTGAAATCATTTAGTTGAACTATAATCAAAAGAAAATGTTTAGTTCGAGCTTTGCTAGTTTATATATATACCTCTTCCTTTAGCCTTCATCTTTCTTCTATATAAGATATAGATACAGCAAAGAGCTAGTACAACTCCTACTGAAATGGCGACGACAATCACATATATTCTTCTCGACTTCTTCTTAAATCGCTGCGAAAGAGTGTTTCCAGGTTCTGAAGTACAAAAAAAAGACATTTAAATTAATTCTTCGAGTTTTTATTCCAACTACGTAATGAAAACATGTTTTGACTAATCTATTAAACACACACCTTGAGCACAAACTGCACTCGAGTCGTTGTTGCCTCTGTCATTGCAATCTGAATTCAGCCAGTAACAAAAACAGGAAACAAAAAACTTCAATACCAATTATAGCAGGTAAGCCTTAGGTACTCAATCAATACATAAATTGTATTAATTAATTAATTAGTAATTAAGAGATTAGCCATATGAAGTTCTATAACTCCAATAGAATAGAATTAAGAGACAATTATAATCTAAGGGAAAAAAAGAAAAAAAAAAGAAAGAAAGAGAGGAGCTCTCTTCTTGATTATTTTGTTTTTCGAAGGTTTGCGAAATTAATATGACGTAAAGTAAAGTTACCTACAGCCGAAGAAGATACACGCAACGAAAGGTAGAGTCTGTTGTTGTCGGTGTAGTCCCCATGAAGATTTTCAAGTTGAGCAGTCCAAATCCAACACTTTGCAGCAGGTTTGCCAGTATCTCTGTCGGTGATATTACGATCTGTATACCAATACGCCTCACATTTGCAATTATCTAAACATTCCTTTTGGCAGTCTGCCCCTTTCTGAGCCCGATCAAACGGCAGGACTTGACCACCTGGTCTAGCCAACGTTAAATTCATAAACTTATCCGTCTGGTTCTGGTTACATTTTATCGACTCCATCCTTTCACAACCTTCTGAGTATTCTCTGTTCCTCCAATCTTCCGAAGAAGTAGGCTTGAATCCAGGCGGGCATTGACACATTGGCTTATCTTCCAAGTTATTACAAATACCAAACTTCCCACATGAGTCGTACACACTGCACCGTGTTTGGGGTGCTGACCATAACCACCTTCCACCTCCATCCGTACTGTCATTATAATACTGGATCTCTCCCGAAGAATTCATCAAAATCCTCGAGTTGTGGTAAAATGAAGGCGGCCTAGTATTATTAGGATAAGTTATAAAATTCCTAACTGATTGAGAGTTTTGCTGATTCAAACCTGTGTCGGAATTCAAAAATATTTGGGCTACAATAGAAGGCAAATCATTATTAAGCAGCGGAAAAGGACCAGGCTCACCACTTTTCCAGTGAACAGTTGTTCTCTTCAGTATGGTGTAAACACCTTGATCTCGACCGAACGTATAATATCCTACACCAGGGTCAGTAGAGGAGTTCCAACAAGTCAATTTCGTGTGATCGTTCATTTCCATACCTGGGAGAAACGTATCGGTCGGATAATCGAAGCTTTGCCACAATCTCTTATCGTGTTGACCGTCGACCAGTACCAAGTTCCCAGAATCCAACAACTGCAAACTTCTGTTCGAGCTTCTAGACGTGTCAAGAGTTGACACAGGAACACCAACTCCAGTATCGCCATCACACCAGATCTTGATATTCCCATCATCTGCAATACCAAACACTCCAACACACGGATCGACCAACGGCTCGTCTCTATTCGCAACCCACACAACGGTCCTTGGAATATTCAATTTGTTGTAATAATACCATATGCCTAGATATCTTTTCTCACTACCTTCAGGAGTAAAGAAACCAAGCTCAAATCTGTTTCCACCTGAAACAAGAGTGCCGTAACTGTTGTCAGTTAAGGGAGTACTCACGGTGATTGTGTCTGTAAACAGAATTGCCTCACATTCCGAACGATTAAAGGTCAACAACATCACAATGAAGAAGAAATACATCATGATGAATGGAGAATGCATTTGAGGCATATAGCTCAAATAATATATACCGATATATTAGTGTATTACGACATTTATTTTCGATCTTTTGCAAACGACTATAACAAAAATTTCTGTCCACAGACCAACTAGATTCAAACAATGTATGTGTGCAAAGAAAAGTCTTATAGTGGACAAGCGGTCCTCCAGGAATAGTGCATGATATATATAATGCCCAGTCAATTTATTATGATTTAGTCTCCCGTAACATACAAAAACTAGTCGACGTTGGTTCCAATTACCTTCATTTTTTTTCTCATGGCAGCTTGACTAATGTCTCACTTACTACAGTCATCATTATAAATAAATAAAGTGCAATCAAACAAAACCCAATTTCTCTAACATATAAAAATAAAACTACTACATGTTGATCTAAATTACCTTCATGTCATTTGTCCTGTCATGTGAGCTACATCTATATTCAGGAAACCAGTCCACCACCATTTATTTGTATCTACAATAATCACTTTAGTTTAATAATAAAAATATATAAATAAAATATATAGATAATAATAATTCATTAGTGTAAAATCAGGTTCTTGACTAATGACTATTAAAAGTGGAAATTTCAGGTGGCCCTAATTCTTACTTGTCCATACTAAAAAACTCGATTATTGAGCACATATATTGTTTTAACTAGATTTCTACTGTTAATGTATATTCTTAGGAAATAAGTTAGGGATTTGATTTGATATACTTTACATAAGTTAGGAGATTTGATTTCATTGTAATTGGTAATTTCCTTGTATAGCTTTCTCTCTACGTGTATAAATAGTGCCTCCTATGGAGAAGAATACACATCAATTTTTCTTCAATTCAATTAACATGGTACCAAGAGCCAATCTCTGATCATCTAGCAATTTTTTTTTTTTTTTGGTTTCATTGTGGTGTTCTCGTCTTTTTTTTTTCTTTTCTCGCTTCCGCCGAAACACCATAAAACCACTGCTGTGCGTGCGTCATCGCTCCGATCCAGATTCTGATCATACCACCAAGATCGCCGTTAAACGATCTACACATCGGTGAAAACCAGACTGCCATCGGAGACCGCACGCGCCCTCACGCGCCTCGAGAAGGTCCTGCGCGCAGTCTCACGCGCCACCGTACCGCCGCCGAAGAATTTCACGCATTCACGCGCCGACACGCGCCGCTCACTCGCCGTCACGCGCCAGATACCGCCGCTGCAGAATTCACGCGCCGACACGCGCCCACGCTCGCCCACGCAACCACGCGCTCACGCGCTCCACCCTTGGTTGGCTGCATCTTTGTGACGTCATCCGCACGTCATCACAGCCACATCACCACTGTTTTGCATTGCTGAGTCAGCCCGCCACATCAGCGCCAGCCCGCCACATCAGCGCCAGTCCGCCACGTCAGTCGTCTGTTGACTTTGACTTTTAGGTCATTTTTACCCGATTTTTCGCATAGATTTCAGTTTTTACGTCCGTTTTTATTAAAAAAAAAAAAAAAAAAAAAAAATGGACAAAAGAGATAATTTTCTTCCTCGACCCATCAATAGTACTCTCGAGGGAACCAAGAATTACTTATCATGGTCTCAAGCTATGCGAAGTTTTCTTAAAGGTCGAATGCTTTGGCAATATTGTACTGGTGCAATCACTATTCCTGTTCAAGCGAAAGATGAAGCAGACTCTGCCTTTGTTGGTCGTACAATTGAGTGGGACAGCCACAACCACATGATTCTTACATGGCTCCGAAATACATCCATCCCTTCAATTTCCAACTTATTGGGCAGTTATGACGATGCCAAATCCGCATGGGACATGTTAGCGAAACGGTATTCGACTTCTCATGGATCTATGAAATATCAGTTGGTTGTTGAATTGCACCAACTTCGCCAAGAACCAAGGCAATCCATCAATGATTATTACGATCAGTTCCGCTACATATGGGACCAAATTGATTTATCTGAACCAGCTTGGGCGTGCCCTAAAGATGCTCAACTTTGTGCTGCTGTCCGAGACGAATTTCGTCTTTATGAATTTTTAATGTCTCTTGACAAAGCATTTGAACCGATCCGAGGTCAGCTTCTCAACCGTAGTCCGCTTCCATCTCTTGATATAGCTGTTAATGAGTTGGTCCGAGAAGAAACACGTCTTGCAACTCTTCAAGTGCAGAATAAGCTCAATGTCCTCGCAGTTGCTCCCCCTATCAACACAGAGCAACCTTCTCATTCAGGGTTCGATAACCGGCGTAGACAGTCGACCAAAAAGTTTTGCAACTACTGCAAACGCCCGGGCCACACCATCGATACATGTTATCGTCGGAACAAATCCACCGTTGCAGTTACCGAGTCCACTCCGCCAATGACTTCCACCTCAGCCGTGTCACAGTCTTCTGGATCCACTATACATCTTACATCACCTGAACTACAAGATATAATAACTCAGGCTATTCGTATGGCTGGTAATGCATCTCTTTCCACTGCTCTCTCAGTCCTGCCTGGTAAGTCTCAAACTTGGCTTTTCGATTCAGCATGTTGCAACCATATGACCCCTCACTCCTCCTTGTTTTCTAAACTTGAACCTGCTCAACACCCTTTAAACATTCATATAGCAAATGGTTCCACTTTACATGGTAAAAACTTAGGGCCGGTTTCAACTTCAAATATTCTAGTTCCCGACGTTTTTCACATTCCCGACCTATCTTATAATCTATTTTCTGTGGGACAATTAGCTGAACTAGGCTACCGTCTTACTTTTGACTACTCTGGATGTATTGTTCAGGATCCGAGGACGGGACAGGAGCTTGGGACCGGGCCTAGAATTGGGCGTATGTTTCCCGTGGATAATCTTCGTCTTCCACCTGTTGCTCCTATCTCTGTTGCTGCTGCTGTTACACCTACATCTTCTTCACCTTCCCTTGTTTTATGGCACTCTCGCCTTGGTCATGCTCCTACATCTCGTATTCAGCAATTAGCTTCTAAAGGTGTGTTAGGTTCTGTGTCTAAAGAACATTTTGATTGCACCTCGTGTCAGTTGGGTAAACAACCAGCCTTACCATTTAATACTAGTTCATCAGTTTCCAATAAAATTTTTGACTTAGTTCATTCTGATGTTTGGGGTCCCTCCCCCGTTACTAGTATTGGTGGTTCTAGATATTTTGTTGTCTTTATTGATGATTATTCTCGTTATAGTTGGATTTTTCTTATGAAATCTCGCTCAGAACTATTGTCAATATATGATAATTTTGCAAAAATGGTTGAAACTCAATTTTCACAGCGCATCAAAACTTTTCGATCTGATAATGCTCTTGAATATACTCAAAATGCCTTTCAAAATATCCTTCGTTCCTATGGCACTATTCATCACCTTAGTTGTCCAGGGACCTCTCAGCAAAATGGTCGAGCCGAGCGAAAACTTCGTCATATTCTTGACACTGTTCGTGCTCTCCTTCTCTCTGCAAAAATTCCCTCTCCATTTTGGGGTGAAGCTGCCTTGAATGCAATTTATGCTATCAATCGTTTACCAAGTCCTGTTATCCAAAATGAAACTCCATACGAGCGACTCTTTATGAAATCTCCAGACTATCATCACCTCCGCTCTTTTGGTACTGCTTGTTTTGTTCTTCTTCAACCACACGAACACAACAAACTCGAGCCTCGATCTCGCCTTTGTTGTTTTCTTGGTTATGGAGAAACTCAAAAGGGCTATCGGTGTTATGATCCTATCTCTCATCGTCTTCGTGTCTCTCGTCATGTTGTCTTTTGGGAACATCGTCTTTTTGTTGAACTCTCACATTTTCGTCCTTCTTTAAGTGCCTCACCCGAGTTAGATATATCTTTGGACGAGTCTCCTTCTCCTATCGACTTGTTTGAAAATACTTCTACTCCTCGCTCCAGCCCAACCCTAAATGAACAGGTGGAAAATGAACAGGTCGCACACGAACTGCCCAGTTCTGAACATGAGTCCCTTGCTCCTGCTCCGCTTGAGGATCCTACAGACCATCTACCGCCTCGCCATTCAAATAGGGTAAGATCTATTCCTTCTCATCTACTTGATTATCATTGTTACACTACTCTTGCCACTTTGCACGAACCTAACTCCTATCATGAGGCTTCCACCGACCCTTTATGGCAGAATGCCATGAGAGAGGAACTTGATGCATTATCTAAAAACCATACTTGGGATCTTGTTACTCTCCCTCCGGGACAGTCTGTTGTTGGGTGTAAGTGGATCTAAAAGATCAAGACTCGCTCTGATGGATCCATTGAGCGATATAAGGCTCGTCTTGTTGCAAAGGGTTTTACTCAAGAGTATGGAATCGATTATGAGGAGACTTTTGCTCCAGTTGCTCGAATCTCCTCAGTTCGCGCTCTCTTGGCCGTTGCCGCTGCTAGTCAGTGGGATCTATTTCAGATGGATGTTAAAAATGCATTCTTAAATGGAGAACTAGCTGAAGACGTCTATATGCAACCTCCGCCAGGACTATCTGTTGATTCAGACAAGGTCTGTCATCTTCGTCGTGCTCTTTACGGTCTTAAACAAGCCCCTCGAGCTTGGTTTGCCAAATTCAGCTCCACTATATCTCATTTGGGTTACTCTGCCAGTTGTTATGATTCTGCCTTATTTGTTCGTCGCACTGACAAAGGCTCCATCTTCCTCCTCTTATATGTGGATGATATGATCATAACTGGTGACGATCCTAGTGGAATTCAAGAATTGAAGGATTTTCTGAGTCAACAGTTTGAAATGAAAGATCTCGGTCACCTCAGCTACTTCTTGGGGCTTGAGATTACTCACTCCAAAGATGGTCTTTACATTACTCAGGCCAAATATGCATCTGATCTCTTATCTCAAGCCGGACTCACTGATAGCAAGATCATTGACACTCCAGTTGAACTAAATACTCACTTGACTCCCTCAGGGGGGACACTGTTGTCAAATCCGTCACTTTATAGGCGTTTGGTGGGCAGTCTAGTCTATCTTACTGTCACTCGTCCTGATATCTCATATGCGGTTCATCAAGTGAGTCAATATCTATCAGCTCCAAGATCGCTACACTATGCTGCCGTTCTACGCATCCTTCGTTATCTAAAGGGTACTCTTTTTCATGGCCTTTTCTATTCTGCTGAGTCGCCTCTAGTTCTTCGAGCATTCTCCGACAG